CCCGTCATTTCTCCGTCAACCAGAAGAAGAATGGCCGTTTCACGAATTCAAACAAGAGAGTATTATGCCAGAAGAAAAGCTCAAACAAAAGGTGTTGGCAACAATGGCAGCAGAAGACATCCTTTTAAATCCAGAACTGCTGCGCACTACAGCCAGAATGATTGCCTTTGCACACTACCTATTAAAGAAGAGCCGTAAAGCGACCACCACCGCCACGCGCCAGAAGTATGAGACTTGGAAACCACAACAGAAAATCCAGAAGAAAGAAGCACACGCCTCAAACCCATCAGCCAACAAAAATGAAAATAGGCGGCTATATCTACCCCTAGAAGAAGAACACTTTAAAGAAGGCCGAAGAATTATTAATGAAGATAAGCCAGACCGACAGTTTCGCGTCAGACATAAGAAAATTTAAGGCAGAAAACCTCTAGAAAACTCAAGTCGACTCAAGAAAATCGACGTTTACGCTGGAGACGATGGAATTATCAAATTAAGAAGTAGGACAATGAAATTCCACGACCAAAACGAAAGAAGAATGAATGCTATCGTTTTAGACGGGAAACAAAAGATAACTTGTCTAATAATACAATACTATCATAAGAAATTCCTTCACGGAAACACTGCTACAGTAATGAACGAGATTCGTCAAAAGTTCTGGATCCTGGGCCTAAGTGCGACTCTAAAGGCGGTCGCACACAGCTGCCAATGGTGTAAGACAAAGAAGAGTTCACCAGAGATACCCCCGACGGGAGACCTGTTGAGCGGTAGACTACAGCATCATCAGTTTCCGTTCTCCTGGACGGCCGTAGACTACTTCGGGCCGATGCAAGTCACCATCGGAAGAAGAACGGAGCGCTGGGGAGCGCTAGTACCATCTCTCAGCACTAGCTCAATGATCATGGCTCTCCGACGAATGGCAGCCAGAAGAGGGACCACGAAAACTATATTCAGCGACAACGGAACCAACTTCGTCGGAGCCAAAAGGGAAGTAGAAGAGGCCACACAAGAAAAAAGCATCAAATGGAAGTTTGTCCCCCCGGGAGCTCCGAATATGGGAGGCGCCTGGCAGAGAATTGTATGAACAGTCAAGACAGCGCTAGCAGTAGTCCTCAACGAGAGAAGCCCGCCCGAAGAAGTACTCCATACACTAATGACCGAGGTTGAACACATCGTCAATTCCAGACCCCTCACCCCGATAAGCATGGACCCAGAAGACGAAGAAAGCCTAACACCGAACCACTTTCTGCTGGGAAGATCATGCGGAGCGATAGCGCCGGGAGAATTCGGTGACACGGAGCTGATCGGGAAGGCAAATTAGAGGACCACTCAAAGACTCGCAGACCACTTCCGAAAAAGATGGATCAAAGAATATTTACCTCTCCTGATGCCAAGAAAACTTGAAAAGAGAGAAACCAAAGACCCAAGAGAAGGAGACATTGTGTTGATAGTGGACGCTACGTTACCACGAAACTCATGGCCTCGCGGAGAAGTTATCAAGACCTACCTCAGACCATACGGAAGAACCAGAGTGCTGGACGTGCGGACATTTGTAGGAATACTTCGCCACCCAACTCGACGTATCATCGTGCTGGTACCAGCGGAATCGTCGCCTCCGGAAGATGAAGTACTACGCACCGTGGGGGAGAATGTTAGCGACGACAAGTGAATTTAATTATTTAATTTCAATTTATTCTTATTTGTGATCTAAAAAGACTGATAGTGTTAATAACGTTAAGTGAATTAATTACTTATACTAGCTTCAATTCTTATTTGCAATCTAAAATTACGTAACGAAAGTTAACAGTCAGTAACGAAAGTCAGTAACGAAATGTGAGTTTAATTACTTATTTGAGTTTAATTAGAATATTAGAAATGAAATATGAATCTAGTTACTCATTGGAACTTACTCTTATTATAATCTAAAGAACTACATTAGAAACATTAACATCTAAGTGTGAATTTAATTACTTGTTTAATTCTTTTTCTTTTTAATGTAATTCAAAACTACGACAATACGTCAATAAACCACATGTATAATCTCGTTTCCTATTATAAAAATAGATTTAGTTCAATAAGAAGTTCAAATGTATTCTGCAATAGTTTCTTAAGATTAAGCGTAATGTTATCATGATAAGCATTGTGCATTCCTGCCACCTGGCGGCGCCACATGTATGTTATGCGGAAAAAAGCTTAGCTACTACGGAGCTATACCGTAGGAAGACCGCTCCACTATTTTTATTTATTAAAGGTGTTAATTAAGTGTTTTATGATGATTAATGTTTGAAATAATAAAGATAAGCTATTTCTATTATCAGGAATGTATAAAAACATTGTAAGGGATGTTTTACTACTAAAATAAAAGAAATTTGTAAGTTTCCCTTAGAAAAAGTTGCTCTGCGATCTGATTGGTCGACAGAAATCATTAGTGCCGTGTGCAAATTCGTTAGTGCCGTGTGCAAAATTTAACTATTTTAATTGTTCGAGATTGCCTATAAAAAAGAGGCGTTTTTTGTGGTAAAACATTCCAAATCCGGCAATGTAAGAATAAATCATCAAGAAAATAAATAAGAAGAAACTCTGAAGACGTGTTATTTATTGCTCATCTAACTGCTACTGCATGCTCTCCAGTTAACATCCCGTTAGCATAACCCGCTCCATTACTAACATTCTCACACACGAGCATCAACATTTTATAAAATAAATAAAATATTTTATTTGTTCACTCTAGGATAGAATTTTCAAATTCTACATTTTTTCAATTATATTTAAAAATTACCACGTCACCAAGCAAAGCTATAATGAATTCAAATCAGCTACGTTATCTTGTGTTTTATGTTCTTGTTCATTTGGTCTAAACTTTTAGTTTTCTCAATTTATGCGCGATTCTCATTTATGTGTGAAATATTGAGCGTTTAATCTGTTGCGCTACTCCTGTGCGCTTTTGCGGACTTTACACATCCTCGAAATATTCTATTGCTTAGTTTGGCAGGCTACCCCATAATTTTTTCTTTGACTGCTGAAGATTCGCAAATAACTTAATTTAAAAATTATGTTATATTGTTACTTAATATTTAACAATTTCATAGTTAAATATAGAACAATGACCATTTTGAACTAAGAGAAAAACAAATTGTTAAAGACATGAGACCTACCAAGTGTAGAATATTGTCAATTTAAATAATAGATATCATCAGTATGTTTTTAACAGCTGGAGAAATGTAAATAATCGTCCTTAAATTTTGCCTACCAGAACGTAGTATTAAATATCTTATCACTAAATGTATCTGTTATTATTGACGTTCCTATATAACTTTTACTACAGAAGTCTATACGTACATAATCTAAAAAAAGCACTCTGTGATATAGTAACTACGTTTTATCCATAATTTTCTAAAGTCGTTAATCGTATAAACTTATGTTAATTATTAAACAAAAGAAAAACGTTTCATTTTAAAATGCTACGGATTAATATTAAACTACTTAAACTTAAAAAGTCATTTTGAATAATTACTAAATTCTCCGTACTTTTAAAAAATATTTAAAAAAGAAAAAATTCCGTCTTTTGTTACATTTAAATAGACAAATAAAATGGCTGTTATATTTTATTAAGTTTCCTTATATACTATATATTACTAGTCCAAGCATGTTAGGGGAGTGGCCATTGTTATTTATATTGTTTGCCGTGTAGTAACGGCGTAAGTATATGAGACACTACTCCATATAATCCCGTGGGTGTCGTAAGAGGCGATTAATTGTTCGCCTCAGCAATCTCCTTCTCCGCGACTTTCTGTGTTACTACTGCTCATTATTTTAGAAGTAGATTTATGAAAATTCTAGTACTCTGGAAGATGAGAGATGAGCAAGTGTTAGAGACACTTGTTGGATAGCCATTCAGTAATGTAAATCATTAGATGCAGTTGTGCAAGTGCCTTTGAGACAGTTTTTGTTCCACTTAACGCATTGCAGTAACATTTCGACTCAATCAACTTAGTTTGACATTTTCAGTTTTCATTTTTCGTTAATGCACGTATAAATTCTGAAATATACGACTACAATATGTTGAGGCCTGTATTTTTATGTTTTCGTATAAATTTTTATTAAAATGGTGTTGTATTATAATTTTACATTTATAATATACTTTTATCTTTATAATGTTTCAGACCATTAGTTTTGGTTCCGTCATAACTGTTTTACTTACATATTTATTTTAATTATAGGGCGGGAAAAAGTTTCTACGTTTTTTTTTTGTATAATATATAAAAAAAAATCTCTTTGGTTGTACTGTTTGTATCTGGCTGGTTCTAAGGACATTAAGAAAAAAAATAAAAAGTAAAAAATACTTCCCGCCGTAGACAGAGAAACCTATAGACTATAGTCAACCAAATCTAAGAAATACCTTTTGACGTTTCCATAGAAATATTATTATTATATCTATGGACGTTTCAGATTAATCATTCTGCAACAACTTAGCATAAGCGTACTCACACGATTTAAAATAACGTTATGCGAATAATCGGCAAAATAATTAAATAATCGGTAAAAATATTCTAATAATCGAATCGTTAATTTCTTTAATGTATTACTTGTTTAATTTAACACTTTAACAGCCGACCGTTATAAAGGTGGCCGTTCCTGGTACGCCGGTGATTTTTGCCGATATTCTATGACTCATAAAATAAAAACTATTTGTGATATGTATATTATTCTTCTTTTATATGTACTATTGTTCTTTATATTTTAAAGGAAGAAGTAAAAAACATTAAAAATAATGAAAAATATTTATGAAAAAAAATTAACAAAAGAGGTCTACAAGCGAAAAAAAAAACTCCAACATAAACATTCTTACATACTTGAGCTAACTAAAGAACGTAATTTTTTTGTGTGTGGAACATTTTGAAGCAGGGATAGTAGCACAAAGGAACATTGCAGTCTGGGCAGTAATAAATGGTCTCTTTGCGCCCCCTTTTTCCGGTTTCTTTTTTTGAAATGTCGGCACACACTTTGCAAACTCGTGCGACTTTCTCCTTTTTTTCCGAGCTTGGAATCCTCTCTATGAAGTGCCTACCGACGAGCCTCGTGCTTGTCCCGACAGCATGTGGACCATGGGAGGGTCCTGCTTCAGCATCTGATGCAGTTTCCACCAGTTGTTCCCCAGAGTCCATCAGAAACTGCGAGAATCGCAGGCGGCGTCGTTGTTCTCTGGATTTATTGTACAAAATGTAAGCGTTTACCAGAGAACGCGCTACTAAATTAAAAAACATTTTTTTCCACCATTTCATACTTTTCCTATTCAACGAATAATAGGATACATATTGGTCATTGAGATCTACGCCAATTTTGTAGTGGTTATAGTCGAGGATGCAGTCTGGTTTCACCTTTTTGGTTACGCCCACACCTTTGGCTTTTGTATCCACCTCTGTCCAGCTAGCTCCGTGTTTCGTCGTGAGCATAAGTACATCACGCTTATCTTTCCATTTACAGGCAGTTAGATTGCCGCGGTGACAAAAAGCCATTTCAGCTTTTTCCAACGGTTGTTGTCGCCAAACCTGTGGCAGACCACGACGATTCGCCATCACTGTGCCTACAGTGCGAGTTTCTTTCAGCCAAAGCAAGTCCGCAATTGTCGGACTCGTAAAAAAACGATCCATATAAATGGTGTGCCATTTACCAAAATATGGTTCACTCAATTCAGCGATAATAGTCTCGACAGATTTTGAGTCGCCAACATAGGGAACCATGCGTAGTATGTAGCCCGTTTCCGCGTCACATAGCATGTAGACTTTCATACCGTATTTATCGGGCTTATCTTTATTGTAAACTCTGAAGTGCACTCGACCCCTAAATCCACAAGTGCCCTCATCAATCGTCAAGTTTTCATTGGGATAAAAACTGTTCTCACACAAAAAACACAGTTCATCGAAATACGGTCTGAGTTTGAAAAAAGCATCGTATTCTGGATCATTACGTGGTTTATAATTTGAGTTGTCGTTCAAATGAAGACAGCTGTAAATAGCTCTGAATCGGTTCCTATTCATGTGCTTTCTGGCGAATGAAGTTTCTATTATTTCACGAGTTGACCAGTAAGAATCAAAACTTTCTTTTTGAACGAGTGTCATATGAATCACTACGGAAAAAAATGTTTTCAGTTCCTGTTTCGTGACTGGTTTCCATTGATAAAGCATAGTGCCAGGTTTCAGGATACCTTGTCGCGTTTGTTTAGCCTTCATTTGAGCTGCATAACGATTTGTTTCAGTCTTGAGCAATTTCCAAAAAGAATCAGGAAAAAAAATTGAGAAACAATCGAACAGTGACGAATTTTCATCAATCGGGGCTAATACGCGAGATATTTCTTGAAATACTGGATTTTCCGGCGGCTGCTGCACTGCTTCGTATGACCATCCATTAGCTTCATCCATTTCCCTGATAGAAGTTGATGCATGTCTGCCGCTGCTGCAGCGGGTAGTCGAGCGCGCCCCTGACCGAACGCGTCCGCCGCGCGATCTCGTTCTGCCTCGAAGTGTAGGTCTCGAGCGACCTCGACTTCGACCCTGTTCTGGTTCAGATACGTTCTCTGACATGTCAGCATCATCATTTTCATGATCTTGGACCGAAACCACCTCATGTAAGTCTTGAATTACCTCTGGAGAGAGAAAACACCAATAAAAATCTAGACTTCGCAAAAAAGGTATATTCGAATAAAAATACAATAATAAAATACAATAATTTACCTTCAATTTGAATTTCCGGGTCTTCCTCAATGTCTGAGTCAACATCATTTACCAAAACATCAAAAATTTCTTTAGAATCGAGACGCCAACTACGTCGAGCGGAAGCCATTTCGCGCCAAAATGCAAGGACGTGCTCTCACGTTGGTGGCGTGGGAGCACTGGCGACGCGCGCTGAAAGATTGCTTGTCCTGCCTCCACCCCGCACCTCCCGTCGGTGATACATACATGTGGGTGTAGCTAAAGAGTCATTCTACACCGGGGTTATACGCCAATCACGCACCGGGAACGTAATTTTTAAACAGACGATAGGAAAGTCAAACCCGTACGGAGTACGTGATCGGCGTCCCGAGTTGATCGACACTGCCCGTACTCAGTACGTGTACGGCTGTTAAAGTGTTAATTTTTATTTTCAAAATTCCAAAATGAATCATGAATAAAACAAGTTTATTTTTTTCACTTTGTCAAAGTAAATTTTTGTAGGCAAAAAACTCATATACAAGGCCGTGCTAAAATAACCACTATATAATTTCAATATCCCGCCATTTCGGTACCAGTTACTCGACTCCACAGAATCAGTAATTCATTTTTGAGGCGATGTATACGCTTTTATAACAAAATACCCGAAAATATACAAAATTTGACGTAAGTACACATAGTTCAAAAACTTTATGAAAGTAAGTTTGTATAAAAAGAGTTATTTTAATATTAAGGAATTTACGGATGATAATAAGTCCTGGGAAGGGTGATCGTACCAAGCTATTTCTAATTTGTTTGTTGTTAATTGTAACGCATGTTTGTAAGCTCTTATTTTTTTTAAAAACTAGTCCCGTCTGGTTCCTTACTGGTTCTTCCCAGGACAGAGGTATTTTTTGCGAATCCGTGGTAAATGAAAAAAGTGACTTTCAATAAGTATTATTCATAATCTATATTGAATAAAAAAGTTTCTGTTTCTGTTTCTGTTTCGAGAGCTTACTGTGCGTAATTTTGTGATTTTGTGTTTGTTTTCTTATTTTGTGACTCGGCTTTAACATTTTGGACTGTTTCTTCTATAATTACTTTTCGTACGTGGTAGAGCCACGCTATATCTATATTATAGTTGTAGCACGAATGGGTCGGCTCAACCAGGGCACGACCAAGCTCTCACAGAATACCAGCGTAAAATAGCAGGGTAATGCTGATGTGTATGGTGAGTGTAGAGAAGCGGAGACCCTTTGTACTGGAATCGAAGCATTCCATCTTAGGCCTCAGGGGTGACAACGCATTTGCATTTTGATTCTTAATTGAGGATAAATGTGTATGTCGATGGACCATAGCATCCAATTACCATCAGGTGGACTGTGTGCTCGTTTGTCACCCAATGCTATAAAAAAATATTCGTTGAAGCATGTGCCCATGTCACAAAGGATGGGGGGTTGGGCAAAAGTGGTAGAAAAAAACAAAAAATTGATTATGGATAACTTCGAAAGAGACATTAATTTTGACTGCAGTATTGAAAATTAAATAATAATAATTAATATAAACAACGACATACCTACAAGTTGTACTGAAAGTGATTGAATAAATTTATTTTTAATCTAGTTTCAATCTTAAATTTTTATAACTGTGCCTCTAGAAATAAGCATTAACAACAAATACGAAGAAACTGATAAATCTTGTGTTTTAAATTATCCGTTTTTTAATTTATTAAATAATCGATATAATTTTTTTTAAGAATCGAAATTTTACGTTCCCATTTTTTGGTTGGCATGCTTGGTGCATTAAGGCTGACTGTCATCTGTCAAAAGGTATTTCTTTACAGGTTGACTGTAATGATTAGCGTGGCCTCGAGTGAGAAAGGACGATAAAGTAGTTTTAGGTTATATAATAATCTTTATGACTTTTAAACATATTTAGATAAAAAATTTAATTGTTCTAAGAACTGAACTCTACAAGATTCACCAATCTTAAGCTCACAAAATACTTTTTTCTCACTTAAACCAACTTGTAAACTCCTTAAAACGCTACGAACTGTCAAAGTTGTTTAGCAAAGTGTAGTTTGCTAAACAAAAAAAAGCGGGCCAAGAGCGTGTCGGGCCACGCTCAGTGTAGGGTTCCGTAGTTTCCCGTCCGTCACAGTAAGTGTTCCCAATTATGAGTTTGTACAAAAACTGTTCTTTCCATCCAAGTTCAAAATAATTTTCCTAGAAAGTCCTTATAAAGTTCTACTTTCCAGATTTTTTTTCATATTTTCTAAACTTATGGTTCAAAAGTTAGAGGGGGGGGGACACATTGTTTTTTACTTTTGGAGCGATTATTTCCGAAATTATTAATATTATCAAAAAATGATTTTAGTAAACCCCTATTCATTTTTAAATACCTTTCCAACAATATATCACACGTTAGGGTTGAAATTAAAAAAAAAAATCACTTCCCACTTTACATATAGGGGGGCTACCCTAATAAAACATTTTTTACCAATTTTTATTTTAGCACTTTGTCGGCGTGATTGATACACATATTGGTACCAAATTTCAGCTTTCTAGTGCTAACGGTCACAGAGATTAAGCGAGGACGGACAGACGGACAGACAGACATGGCGAAACTATAAGGGTTCCTAGTTGACTACGGAACCCTAAAAAACCGGCACGGAGAAAGGGACAAACAATCACACAGCTCTGTCTCATTTCTCTGCAAGACGTATGCATAAATCTATCTTTTTCGTGTGCGAATGCGAAAGAAGAAATCAATTTGTCTATAGGTTTCTCTGCCTACGCTTCCCGCTATTTTTAATTGTTTTTCTGTCCGCCAAATTCAGTGAGTCTAACGAACAAATTCGAAACATTCGCAAGTTTTACCATAAAAAAGAGAAAATGCGAATCAAGCCGCGAAAAATTATGTTACGTTTATGGATGAAATGCAGCGTCAGTAAGAGTAGCACAAAGTTGGTTCAAGCGTATTCAGTCCAGGAATTTTGATGATCTCATGTAGATAAATTAAATGCCATTTTAGAAAAAGTGGAATAAAATCGGCATATTAGTAGTTATGACAAAGCTGAGGAATTGAGAATTGAGCACAAAATAGTTTTGACCCGTTTAAAAAAGTCTGACTATACAAAAAAGCTCGATATTTGGGTATCATATGAGCTCACCGAAAGAAACCTAATGAGTCGTGTACTAATTTGCGATTCTCCATTGAAACGTAATTAAACCGAAACATTTTAGAAAATATTAATCACTAGTTATGAAAACTGGATATAGTACTTATAGTAGAATCGCTGGAGGACCTAAGCATAATGCTCAATGACCTCAATTGCGCCTGCCAACGGATAGCTCCTAAGATGAAAATGAACAAAATAAAAGATCATGTGGAACGTCCATATCCCCTCTACGCCACTGCTCTACCTTGTGTGTGCGTGTGCTAATACGTCGTTGCTTCTCTGTGTGACTTGTGTACTGCATGTGTCATTTTATTCGATTATAGTTTATTTGATGCGTTCACCGCTTGGAGAAATAATTTGTTTTCCTTTTAATATTATTTTACTCCATTTTAATTGGTTTTCAATTATTGGTAAATTCATCATCAACTATAATGTTTCACATGCAGTGGTCGTCCCCTAACGGCCAGCTTTTTACTGACCCGAAATGTTCCGAGTGTGTCGTAAAACACGACTATGAGAAGTGTTAGAAAAAGCTTATTGCTTTCAATAACTAGCGATATATATACTATAATACTACTACGTTACCGGCAGAAGTAAAATATCTAGACCAGGTACTTCAGCGTCAAGGGTGCAAGACGTGTGCTACTGTTTTTCAATTCGCCTGCCAAGCGTGACGCTTGAGGCCAATCCTCCCTACATTGACTAGAGATCCATGTCCAGCATAGCACCTAAAGGGGTTGGTAAAGAAAATGAAAGTGACTTTCACAGACTGTGATTCTTTCTGGTATTGTTTTTACAATGTGATACAACGAAAATTAAGGGTTATTTAAGCATATAACTAATTTATAACTCATGCGTGGATTACATATTTAGAAAACTGCGTCTTATTTTAGGAACTGGTTTCACATAATCCTCATTGAACGAAAACATGGGGGAACCTAAGTGTTGGAAATTTACACGAACTTCCCTCAAGAGAAGGACAGGTGAAGAGAACCAGTATAATTACAGGCTGATAGTCATTACATCTAGCAAGAGACGTAATAAGTCGTATGTTACTTACTTTATAGGAAAATTTATAGCTTTTGTATGGCATCTGCATAATTTGTGCATACGCTGCAGCTTGTTATGACCGCATCACCAATGGATCGGCTAGACCTGGATGGTCCAAGATTGCATACAATTTGAAGTAGGACAATAACGCTCCTATGTTTTATATGGTGAGTTCAAAATATGACGACCCTTTAAACTGGTAACAAGGCATATTAGTACTCAATGGTGACAACGATTTTGAATTTTGGTTCTTAATTGAGGATAAATGCAAATGTTTATGGACCATAGCATTTAATAATTAGATAAATATTTAAATTCAGGAGTCGTTGTATAATATTCATTGGTTACGATAAAATATTAATATGATTACTGCCGCAAGCCGCCAATAGTAATTACTTTGTCCTGGAAATATATATCAGTGTTGACTGGATCATAATATTTCATTCAAAACGTCACATCTAATGGTACCATGTCAACATCATTAGTGAGAAATCTAAAGTATAATTTCCTTATTCAATAAGGTTAAATTATAGGCATAAAACGAATCCCTGTTGTTGCAAGCTCTAAAATAATATCGTTAGTATTATTAAAAGGTTAAAAACGACCCAACAAATAGCACACTAAAAACAACTAGTGACCTAATAAAGAAACACCCCGAAAAATTAAATTTGGACATAAAATCGATAATACCTACGGGTGCCAAATCACCAAAAGTTGTACGGATTACCAAAAATACACAAACCCAATGCTCCACTACGTCCTATAGTAAGCCAAATCGATTCACTAACTTACAGATTGACTCAACACTTAGCGAAAATACTATCACCGCTCAGGTGACATACAAAAGCACACATAAAGGATTCCTACCATTTGTCAGCGAGATTAAAGACCTAAATCTGAAAGACAATGAAACTATGGTCAGT